GAAGCTGGGGTACGGAGGCCCTTTCAGCACGTCAGTGGGCACTGCCTGAAGCCTCGCCACATTTCAATGGCCAGCTGTTAAGAATAAAAATTAAGGGGAAACTATTTTAAAATGTCTCGGAATCTCAGTGGTCAGTGGTATAAGCGACTGGACCTTATCTTACAGCAGGCCAGAGGTTGTTCCAACATCACCCAAAGAGATAATTATGCAAAACAATCCATTGAAGCAAAAGTATGGAACAGTGTATGTCTGTTTACTGCTTTTAACAAACTAATCATACAGGCAGATATTCTATCAATCCCAAGATGAAATACCCAAATATATAGTGTATCTCAAGAGAATACCTCTACTAGCCTGATACCATTCCATGTTTCCAGCATGCTCTTAGTGTTGCACTTTCTGCTGATTGAATAGTTATCTTATGAGGTTCTTGCTTTGTTAGAAGTTGCTGTGTGGCTTTTGCTCCAGTGTTGCTTACATTTGTAACTGGGCATTCATTGGAAGCTGAGGCTAGCTGCTCTTATGTCTAGTGGACTCCTTGACTGCCTTGACTGCACGTGTGTTTGAACTGTGTCATTGGCCTGACTTGTATGTCGCACTGGACATCATTCTAGAGTCTGCTAAATTAATAAAAAATGTAAAAGAAACCCTGAAATCCTGTAAACAGCACAGAAACATAAACCCAAGCCTCACCACCATTAATAAATTCAGCCCAATTAAATGGCTCCCAATACAATATAATGGAGGACGAAAGACATTAAACTCATCATGGTCTATCGTCATTCTGTTCTTTAATACAGCGTATATTAGTAGTAACCTCGTTTCTGCATGGACCAAAATGTTCTCGATGTGTATCACTGTCCCAAAATCCAGCCTGCTCTTGATGTGAAAAATGGTGTGAGTGGATGGAGACAGAAAAAAAATGGCATAGTTATTAGGAGGAAATTGCATATTTATACGGTCATGATGGAAATTATGTATTAGAAATAAATGCAGCTTAAAGAACTGGCCTGGCATCCAAACATATAAATCAGAGCTGCTACAAAGACCTCTGCAGAAAGCGGAAACACATGTGTCACTAAATGAATTAATGAATGCCTTCACCTGGCCTTCATCCATCCATTTTCCAGCTGCTTATCCTGGTCAAGGTTACCTTGGGCATACCATAGGGCATACAGCTAGGGTAAGGATGTCAGTCTATCACAGGGAAAATTGCCAGGGCACCCCCTGGTAAGGATGCCAATCTATCACAGGGCACTGGGCCAGGAAACACCCCGGTAAGGATGGCAGTCTATCACAGGGCACACGGCCGGGGAACACCCTGGTAAGGATGCCAGTCTATCACAGGGTATACAGCTAGGGAACACCCCAGTAAAGATGCTATCACAGGGCACACGGCCGGGGAACACCCTGGTAAGGATGCCAGTCTATCACAGGGTATACAGCTAGGG